CCTTGAGCTGAAGAGCTGAGGGACAGTGCTAGACCCAGAGTTCAGGCCCTACAACTGACAAAACAAACAAACAAATAAACAAACTATGAGTGAGGTTAAGAATGATTAGGGCTTGCCGGGCGATGGTGGCTCACGCCTGTAATCCTAGCTACTCAGGAGGCTGAGATCTGAGGATCGCGGTTCAAAGCCAGCCCGGGCAGGAGAGACCGTGAGACTCCTATCTCCAATAAACCACCAGAAAACCGGAAGTGGCGCTATAGCTCAAGTGGTAGAGCGCTTGCCTTGAACTGAAGAGCTGAGGGACAGTGCCCAGGCTCAGAGTTCAAGCCCCACGGCCAACCAAAAAAAAAAAAAAAAGAATGATTAGGGCTGAAGTCACCCCTAAGTCCACCTTGTGCTAGCCTACAGGGTACAGAAAAGGAAGACTAATAAAGACTAGCTTAGAACTTTAGAGCCAGAATGCTGAGCTGGGTGTTATGGCCCTTGGCTAGTGGAGGCAGGAAGATCATAGAGTTCAAAGCTAGACTAGGCTGCATAAGACCCTGTTCAAAAAAAAAAAAGGAAGGAAGGAAGGAAGGAGGGTAGAGAACAAAGTAGGAAGGAAGGGAAGGAGGGAGGAGGAAAAGAAAAAGAAGGAAGGGAGGGAAGAGGGATGGAAGGGAGGGGGAAGAGGGATTGTTAAACCACTTTGATTTTTTTTGTGATCTCAGTTATATCTAAAGAATGAAGAAATGGAAAAATGGAGATATAAAATTATTGTATTTGTTAAATATACATTTATAGTTGGTAAAGTAATGTTTTTTTTAACATACTCAAATACAGCTATAACTTCAAAAGTTCAACTTGGAGAATTATTTTTGTCAGTCCTGGGGCTTGAATTCAGGGCCTGGGCACTGTCCCTGAGCTTCTTTTGCTCGTGGCTAGCGCTCTACCACCTAAGCCACAGCCCCGCTTCTGGACATTCCTGTTTATGTGGTCCTGAGGAATTGAACCCAGAGCTTCATGCATTGTAGGCAAGCACTCTACCACTGAGCCACCTTCCCAGCCCCTAACTTGGAGATTTTTATGAATGTGCCTTCTTAACCCTAAGCAACTAATTACCTTCATCTTTAGACCCACCAAAATGTCTTTGGGAAATATGGATGCTTGAAAAAGACAGAAGGACACTCAGCTCTCTCAGAGACTTGAAAATAAACACATCTTAATAATGCACCAATTGGAAATATGGTACAAATGTTAGCCAAAAAGAGGGGTCAGGTTAAGAATAGTATGCAGAAATGATGTTCTATCCTTTTTTTTTTTTTTGATGATGTTCTATCGTATATGTATCTTTTATCTATACACATATATTTAGAAAGCTTACAAAGGGATATACCATTAACAGTGGTTATCTCTGGAAGGAGAGATTAATGTACAGCTTTTGTTTTATAATTCCTTTATTCTTTATGTTTTCCATTAATTTCTATTTTTTATTTTTTATTTATTTATTTTTTTTGGGTCCGGTCGTGGGGCCTGAACTCTGGGCCTGGGCGCTGCCCCTCAGCTCTTCAGCTCAAGGCTAGCGCTGTACCACTTGAGCCACAGCACCACTTCCGGCTTTTTTCTTTTTGCTTATGTGGTGCTGAGGAATCGAACCCAGGGCCTCATGCATTGCAAGGCAAGCACTCTACCACTGAGCCACCTTCCCAGCCCCTTATTTTTTATTTTTAACCAGCTCTTTTTATGTTGAAGGAGAAAAGGTTGTATGTTACCTTTTGAAAATACTATACTGCAAATCCACCTAAAACTTCTTTTTTTTGGGGGGGGGGTCCGGTTGAGGGGCCTGAACTCTGGGCCTGGGCCTGTCCCTCAGCTCTTCAGCTCAAGGCTAGCGCTCTACCACTTGAGCCACAGCGCCACTTCTGGCTTTTTTCTTTTTGCTTATGTGGTGCTGAGGAATCGAACCCAGGGCCACAGGCATGCAAGGCAAGCGCTCTACCACTGAGCCACCTTCCCAGCCCACCTAAAACTTCTTATAATGATAATGTACTTTAATCAGAAAGATAAAGTATGATAACTAAATGGACAACAATTTGTGATCAAAGCCTGGCAATTTGCAGAAGAATAACCGCCATTTTCATTGGAGCAATGTTTTATTCATTTTATCCATTTGTGTCTAAATGGTGACACTGAAAATTGTGTCAGGTTCTGGAGCAATTTGCAGACTAAAGTTCACATAGCAATTTCCCTTCTTTGCCCATTCTCTTAATTTTCAAAAATCTCCATTGGTGAGTTGAGTGCTGCTGGCTCAAACCTGTAATCATTGCTACCAAGGAGGCTAAGACCTAAGGACCATGATTTGAAGCCAGCCAGAAAAGGAAAGTCCATGAGACTCTTATTTCCAATTAACCAGCAAAAAACAGGAGGTAGAGCTGTGGCTCAGGACTGGCGCACACACACATACACACACAAAAAAAAAAATCCTCCACTGGACCCAAAGTTTTCAAGTGATCAAGGAGGGAGTCAAAGTCCTCAGAGAGGTCTTAGCTTTGCTAGTTATCCTCAAAGAAAAATATACAATTTTGATTCTCCTATAAAGTCATTATCAGTGTTACTCAGATTCTACAATTTTTTTTTGGTGGTACCAGATTTGAACTTGGGGCCTCAAGTACTTGCTCAGCTGATGCTCTACCACTTGAGCTGTGCCTTCAGCTCTTCTCTTTTGCTGTTTATTATTATTATTTTTAGGCAGTTCTAGTACTTGAACTTAGGGCCTAGGCACTGTCCCTGAGCTTCTTTTGCTCAAGGCTAACACTCTACTATTGAGCCACAGTGCCACTTCCAGCTTTTTTCTATTTATGTAGTACTGGGAAATCGAACCCAGGACTTAATGCATGCTAGGCAAGCACTCTACCACTAAGCCACATTCCCAGCCCTTGCTGGTTACTTTGTAGACAAGAATGTCTTAGGCTTTTCTGACTAGGCTGGCTTTGAACTAAGATCCAGAGGATCTCAGCCTCCTGAATAGCTAGGATTCAAGGCATGAACCATCTGTGCCAGGATTATACTCTTACAGAAAAGTTGATGAGTATAGACTTTGCCACAGGTTTTCTCTTGTGGGAAATCTGCTGTTTCTAGATTAAGACATTCTGTGGCAGGTGAGGCTTGGATAGGTGGTGATTAATGTAGGCATTTTCTAAGAGCAATGCTTCAGAATCTCATGAAAAGAAGCAAGATGGCACACTCCCCTTTTCACTTAAACACTACTTCAAGAGTAGGTCTTTCTACTTCTGCAGCAAAATTTATTCAAACAGGCAGACTCATAGCTATGTCTTTGTAAGAAAGGCTATGGTCACATTGCTCTGGAGTCTTTCCCAAACTATATGTGGCTCAGTATTAAAAATGAGGAATAATATTAGATCCACTTTAGTTCTGTATTGTCCCTAGAGTACTATTTGTCTTCAGTTCCTTAATCTTTCTTTAAAAAAATATTTATTTATTTATTTATTTATGTCGGTCCATTCATAGTGTTAGGAAAGAGACCTTTGTCTTCATTTGGTGGGACAAAAATATATCCATTGCCAGGCACTTGTAGCTCACGTCTGTAATCCTAGCTACTCAGGAGGCTGAGATCTGAGAATCACAGTTCAAAACCAGCCTAGGCAGGAAAGTCCGTGAGACTCATCTCCAATAAAATCACTAGAAAACCAAAAATGGTGTTGTGGCTCAAGCAGTAGAGTGCAAGAACAGGGCCCAAGCCCAAAGTTCAAGCCCCACAACCAGCCAAAATACACACACACACACACACACACACACACACACACACACACATATATCCATTACTATCGATATACAAAGTCAATCACAGAAGCCAGTCATTACATCAATAGTGGCATGAGGGTAACTTCTCAGCCCAGGCTCCCCCTTCTCTATCTTATCATTATTGTTGATTAAAAGGTCTCAGTGAATGTAAGAGTGTAACACTGGCAAGAATCTGCCCATACTGATTAACAGTGGAGTGAAGATAGTATAGAAGACATTGTATTCTTTCAAGTATGTGAGGCAGAGCAGAACTTTTTTTTTTGTCGGTAGTGGGGCACTGTACCTGAGCTCTTCAGCTCAAGGTGAGTGCACTACCACTTGAGCCACAGTGCCACTTCTGGTTTTTATTGGAGATAAGAGTCTCACGAACTTTCCAGCCCTGGCTGGCTTTCAGTCGAGCATGTTGGTATATGTCTGTAGTCCCTGTACTCAGGAGGCAGAGGCAGGAGGATCATGAGTTCAAGGACAAGCTGAGCTACATAGTGAGAACTTGTTTTCTCCCCTCCTCCACATCAGAAAATGTAATACTGCTGGGTGCTTGTGGCTCATGCTTGTAATCTTAGTTACTCAGGAGACTGAGATCTTAAGGACTAAGGTTGGAAACCAGTACCAGGCAGAAAAGTCCATGAGATCCTTATGTCCAATTAACTAGCAAAAAAATGGAAATGGAGCTGTGGCTCAAATGGTAAAGTATCAGCTCTGAGTAGAAAAAGACCAATGGAAAAATGAGGTTCTGGGGCTGGGAATGTGGCTTAATTGTAGAGTGCTTGCCTAGCATGCATGAAGCCCTGGGTTCGATTCCTTACTACCACATAAATAGAAAAAGCCAAAGATGGCACTGTGGCTCAAGTGGTAGAGTCCTAGCCTGAGAGGCTCAGAGACAGAGCCTAGGCCCTGGGTTCAAGCCCCAGGAGACCAGCAAAAAGAAAAAGTAAGGCTCTGAGTTCTAGCTTCAGTATCAGTGGGTACACGCACGTGTGTGCATGTGTGCGTGCTCACACACACACTGCTTCAATGACAAAATAAAAGAGCACGAAGTGAAGGAACTCACATTTGGCAAGCATTTTCTATATGCTAAGCTCCTCTTACACAAGATCCCAATTAGCCTCCCTCCATGCAAGAGACAAATGCTTTGAGTCCCACTTTAACAGATGAGGCAGTTGAGTTGGAGACTAAGCAGCTTTCCCCAAATCACTCAGCTAGTGAACACGAGTGCCAAAATCCATGCTCTCCTCCTTATGCCAAGCTGCCTATGGAACAGAAGGAAGTCTTCATAGACCAAGTCAGCTTACAGGGCATGGAACTATGGCAAATACTATTATGGGAATTCCACCAAGCAACAACATAGCAGCTGTCAGAACTTTGACCACAACACTCCATTTCTGTCTCTTCTCCAGGTTCTCATCTGTGTCTAAAGGAGAGATAGGGCGGAAGAAAGAGAAAAGAGAAGAGAAAAAGAAAGAGAATTTGAGCAAGGGAAGTGACCAACATTTTCTTTTACTTAAACTTGTCCTGACTCAGGCTTATAGGGGACCCAGTCTACTCAAAGTCAGAAGCTGGATTCTCACTTCAGACTCAGAATCAGGAATTGGATATGAATCAGGGGCTTCTTTTCCCCAACCTCTTTTTTCAGCCTCTTCTCAATGAGTCATCTTCTCTGGGATTTTGGATTTTCCATAGTCTTTCAGGCCTTATTCTTGCACTGTTCTCAAATAAAGATAGCCTTGGGTACATAAGGAGTTCTAAACTTACCTTTATCATCCGCTCAGAGTCCCTACACTTAAAAAAAAATCACATTTCCTTCAATCCCATCACTGAGGGGAAAAAAGAAAAAGAAAACAAAGTCACAGTTTGTGTGTGTTTCCTGGTTTAACAGAATATATGAGGAACAAAGGTGAATTGGCATTGCTTCTGAGTCATAAGCCAAATCTTTGGCAAATGGCTGGTATACATTTTGTTATTACCAATCTCATGTTAAATTTTCCCCTTGTAGGGTCTATGATATAATCCAAACTCAAATTGGAGTATTCACCCATTTAGGGAAGACAGAACCATGCACTTGTTTGATATCTTCACTATTTTAATTGCTTAATGTTCAAATATTTTGTGTCTAAACATACAGTGACTGGAATTACCTATAACAGGGATAACTGTTTATTCTGTTCCCAAGTCTGGACACAGGGTAAGCTTACTTGCTTAGAGGTAAAAGATCACTGATGGTATCAAGGTACAAACATTTCTGGGACCATCTTCATAGAGAAGGTAATTTTCCCATTTAAAAAAATAGAATGATTTCAAACATAAACTAATTTCTCAACCCCCAGTAATATCCTAGAAGATTCAGACTAATAATATCAAAGCTAAAAATGCTTGTTGGGTGCTGGTGGCTCATGCCTATAATCCTAGCTACTCAGAAGATCTGAGGATCATGGTTTTCTTTTCTTTTTTTTTGTCGGTCCTGGGGTCTGAACTCTGGGCCTGGATGCTGTCCCTCAGCTCTTCAGCTCAAGGCTAGCGCTCTACCACTTGAGCCACAGTGCCACTTCCAGCCTTTTCTGCTTATGTGGTGCTAAGGAATCAAACCCAGGGCCTCATGCATGCAAGGCAAGCATTCTATCCCTGAGCCACCTTCCCCAACGCCCCCCTCCTTTTTTAATGTCAGTTGTGGGGCTTGAACTCTGGACCTGGGTGCTGTCCGTCAGCTCTTCAGCTCAAGGCTAGCCCTCTACCTGTTGAGCCATAGTGCCACTTCCGGTTTTTCTGGCGGTTGATTAGAGATAAAATCTCATGGACTTTCCTGCCCAGGCTGGCTTTGAACTGCAATCCTCAGACCTCAGCCTCCTGAGTAGCTAGGATTATAAGTGTGAGCCACCAGCGCCCGGCTAGGATCATGGTTTTCAAAGCCAGATTGGGTGGGAAAGTTGTGAAACTGTTATCTCCAATGAACCATCCCATACCAGAAGTGGAGCTATGGCTCAAAGTGGTAAAGTGCTAGCCTTGAGCAAAGAGCTTAGAGAGAAAGCCCAAGTCCTGAGTCAAGCCACAGGCCCACCTACTCCCACCCCCCAAAAACCAGAAAAACCCCAAAGCTAAAAATGCTTCTTTTTCTTTCTGTTCTTGTTTTATTCCTACTTATTTTGTATCTTGTGTCCAAAGGCTAGAAAAATCACCAGTACTTGTAGTTTTATCTCCATTATCCCCTGGAATGTGGAGGTTGTAGTGGTAAAAAACATCTCTGAGGAAACTCTTTTTCCTGGGTAGACCCTGCATTGGAAGACCTCTGGTAAGAAAACTGTAAAACAAAAAAGAAATAATGAAAGAACAACTACAGTAGAAAATTTTTATCATTTATTTTTATTATTTATTTATTTTTATCATTTGGTCTGACAAAAACTATAGTTGTATCTACCTTATATTAAGTGTGTGTGTGTGTGTGTGTATGTGAATGGGTGAGAGTTGAACACAGAGCCTCAAATAGGCCAGGCAAGTGTTCTACTACTTTAGCCAAGTTTTTAGCCCATTTGTTTTGTTTCTGAGATAAGTTCTTCCTGTTTCTGCCTCCCAAGTTGCTTGGATTACAAATATGTACCACCCGCTCATTTCTGATATTAAGCTTTTAATTGTAGCCCCAATAACCTGAGTGTTCATAGTTTAGGGTATAGGCATAAAATACTGCCAAGAATAAATGTGGATAGAGATACTAAGAAGAGATATGGATGAAATCTCCGTGAGGCCTTTTATAGCTTAAGATCAGAGTAAAGGAATAAACCTTATCTTGTTTACCTATTATTCTTAAGATTATAATAATAATAATAAAGATAGAAGGGCGTAGCACTGTTGAAAGTTTCCTTCTTTAATAGAGGTGACTCCAAAGTCCACGGAAGAATGTGAAATGTAATGTGACTGAATTACTGCTAAAAGTCAACTATTTTGAAAGGCGATTGGAGAAAGCAAAAGGAAACACCCTCCTCCCCAGCTTCATATATTCAGTTTCATTCACTTAACAGGTATTCACACATGTATACCTTTTATATATATATATATATACACATATTTACATATGTATATATATACTTGTATATATGTTTATATAAGGTATATATGCCAGGAACTGCTTCATTTGTATATATCAGTTGGATATATTCTCACAAGGGAACAAGCCAAGAGGAGGGAGGGTTGTGGAGTAGAACAGAGGAAGCAGACTACAATGAATACAATCAATATGTTTTATAGTAGAAGGGGATGAATGCTTCTAAAAACATTAAAACCAGAGAAAAATAAGTGAGTAAGTAGTCTGAGGAGCACAGATTGTCAATAGTTGGTAGCCTGAAGTATACGCTAAGTATCAGTGAGAAGGTGAGAATTGAAGCAAGACTTGAAGGAAGTCATGGGTTCACCAAGAAGCAGCCTGGGGGAAGTACTAACTTGGGAGGAAAGGCAATGAGAGTAAGGCTCCAAAGCAGTGGTAGAGTTGTAGAGTTGTAGTAAAGTGGTCAGGGAAACAACAGAGTGAGCAGGTAGGCGATGCGGTTTCAGACTATAAAGATCCAGAGGAAACAGGTATAAGGCCTAGCAAGCCAGTTTAAGGACTTTGGTGGCTTTTCTTTTTCCTCAGCACTGGGCCTTACACTTGTTAGACTGGTGCTATACCACTTGAGCTACCTCCAGCCTTGTTTTTTGCTGTTTATTTTGGAGATGAAGTGTAACAGACATTTCTGCCTAGACTGGCATTGAACCTGGATCCTCTAAATCTCAGCCTGCTGAGTAGCTAGGATTATAGGTGGGAGTGCCTGGAAGGACTTTGGGTTTTTGGGTTTTTTTTAATGTTCTTGGTGGTGGTTGTGGGGCTTGAACTCAGGGCTTGGGAGCTGTCCCTGAGCTCTTTTGCTCAAGGCTAGTGCTCTACCACATCGAGTCTCAGCACCACTTTCAGTTTTGGGGTAGTTAATTGAGATAAGAGTCTCACCAGGACTTTCCTGCCCATGCTGGCTTTGAACCACAATGCCCATATCTCAGCCTCCTGAGTTGCTAGAGTTATAGGTATTATTGGCACCCAGCCAGGACTTTGGTTTTTATTTGGGCTTTGTGCAGAGGAGTGACAGGAATTGGGATGAGAGATGAGAGATGGTGTGATTTCAGTCTAAGAGTGGAAATGAAGAAGAGAAGGTGGATTTTGGCTGTAGTCTGGAATTTACTTCATGTGTCTTCACTAATGACCTCATCCAGTTCAGGCAGTGGTTCTTATTCCAGTTTGGAAGGTCTTATCTGGTTGCCTACTAAGTCAGACATGTAAATTCGACTTGACTTTTCTTTCTTTTTTTTTTTTTTTTGGGGGGGGGGGGGTCCAGTCATGCGCTAGAACTCTGGGCCTGAGTGCTGTCCTTCAGCTCTTCAGCTCAAGGCTAGTGCTCTACCACTTGAGCCACAGCACCACTTCCGGCTTTTTTTCTGCTTATGTGGTGCTGAGGAATGGAACCCAGGGCCTCATGCATGCAAGGCAAGCGCTCTACCATTGAGCCACCTTCCCAGCCCCATGGACTTGACTTTTCTAAATAACTCCTCCATATCTTGATTAAGTCTGTATAAAATGAACTTTGCTTCAGGAGCTTGTGGCCACAGTAATCAGGCACTATACCTGAAACCACTGGAGAAGTAGTAATCCTGTATTTTAATTTAATCAGGAAGATAGTGTTGGGAGAAATAGGTTGAGATACCCTTAAAGTTATTTCATTCAAAAAGAAAAACAAAGCTGAGCGCTGGTGGCTCACTCCTATAATCCTAACTACTCAGGAGGCTGAGATCTGAGGATCACAGTTCAAAGCTAGCCTGGGCAGGAAAGTTTGTGAAAATCTTATCTCCAATTAACTACCAGAAAACTGGAAATGGTACTGTGGTTCAAGTGGTAGAGTGCTGGCCTTGAGATGAAGAGCTCAGGGACAGCACTCAGGCCCAGAGTTAAGCCCTATAACTGACAAAAAAAAGAAAGAAAGAAAGAAAGAAAAACAAGGAAATTTACAGCATAGTATCACTCAGTTCTCTGACATGATAACATATGTTTATGAGAGAGATGAGAGAAAGATAAACCTTATTTTGGACAAGTTATCAGAGTTTTGGTTTTCCAAATCTGTAATATGGTTAAAATAATACTCAGCGTATTTCTCAGAGATGTTGTGAAGGTCTTAAGCAAAAAGTGAGAAAGCAAGTATGAAGATACTTTGCAATCTGAGTGACATTATGATTGAAAGAGCAGGAATAAACTAATCTTTTTAAGTAGAAGAATTCTGCTCTGTGGCCACAGGGATATTTCAGCATGGCATGTCTTCCTACCTCCTGGGAACTACTGTTTTAAAGCCTACAAAATAGGCTTCATTTGTCAGTGTAAATTCAGTTCTGCCTCAATTATAAATTAATGTCCATCCATGTTCCCAGCTCATCTCTTTCAGGTCTCACATGTGAAGTACTGAGTGCCAAGATGGAGCAGGTCTATAAATACAAACACTGTACTCTAAGTGATCATGAAATTGCAATATTAGCTGGCCTTGGTTAAAGATATTTGCATAAGAAATCTTAATTTGAGGACATCAGTGGTATGGTAGAATTTTAGAAAGTATAATACAGTGTGTGAAACACCCAAGTTATATAAAGATATATAATTTACTATACCTTGGCCACATCCTTAGAAACAAATGTCTTATTTCTCAATCTCTAGATGTTAGATATTTTAGATATTATATTACTGGTTCTTGGGCCTCATGCTTGCTAGGCAGTGCTTTACTACTAAAAGTGTGTTTCTTCATTATTCTGGTTATGAATCCCTCAGTTTTTCTACAAGTGCCAACTTTTCTCTTTCCAACAGTATAGGAGCAGTATCTAAGGAATTGCCTGAATAAAAAATGCAATCTACTGATTAGAAACTATTTGACAAAAAGGATGGGTAAGAACCTGTCATTGTTTTTGATTTTGGTACCCTGTGTCTTGTATATACCTCTATCTGAATTGGGGAAGGGAAAGGGAATAACAAAATGGTGAAACAAAGGACAATGCAACAGAGATACTCACAAGCCACTATGTTGGAAATGAACTTTACAATTTGGGGGGGGCAATTGGGGAGGAGGAAAAGTGGGAGAAAAACAAGGGAGGGGTAACTATTCAACAATAAATGTACTCATTACCTTACTTATGTAACTGTAACCCCTCTCTGTACATTACCTTTACAACAAAATAAAATAAAATTAAAAAAATAGCCTGGTTTTCCAGGTGCCTGTGGCTCACACCTGTTATCCTAGCTACTCAGGAGGCTGAGATCTGAGAATCACAGGAACCTGTGTGAAACTTTTATCTCCAATTAACCATCAGAAAACTGGAAGTGGCGCTGTGGCTCAAGTGGTAGAGTGCTTGCCTTCAGGTGAAGAGCTCAGGGACCATGCCCAGGCTGAGAGTTCAAGCCCTATGACTGACAAAAAAAAAAAAAGAAGAAGAGGAGGAAGAAAAAAGCCTGTTTTTTTTTTTTTTTTGTCGGTCGTGGGGCTTGAACTCTGGGCCTGGGCGCTGTCCCTCAGCTCTTCAGCTCAAGGCGAGGGCTCTACCACTTGAGCTACAGCGCCACTTCCGGTTTTCTGGTGGTTTATTGGAGATAGGAGTCTCACGGTCTCTCCTGCCCGGGCTGGCTTTGAACCGTGATCCTCAGATCTCAGCCTCCTGAGTAGCTAGGATTACAGGCGTGAGCCACCAGTGCCTGGCTAAAAGCCTGGTTTTTAACATAGCTATATTGCTGAAAAATTAGTAACCAATATTTCATCTCTTCTTCTACTCTGCTATTTCAGTTCTAATTTCTCAGTCTATCTTCACCCTGGAATAGCACGCTTCATTTTCTAGAAAGATAGAAACTTTTGCCAAATAAAGACTACTCTGAACAAAGAACCATTATAGCAGAGAAGTCAAAACAAAACAAAACAAACAAAAAGACTAATGGGTGAGAATAGGAAAGAAGAGAGGTGGAGAGACTTAGGACTGGGATCAAGAACCACTGCCTGGGAGTATAGCTCAGTGGAGGAGTACTTGTTCAGATTGAACCCTAGTTTCAATCTCCAGTGACATACAGAAAGGAAAGGAGGAAGGAAGGACGGATGGAAGGAAGGAAGGAAGGAAGGAAGGAAGGAAGGAAGACGGAGGGAGGGAGGGAGGGAGGGGGAAGGGAGGGAGGGAGGGAGGGGGAAAGGAAGGAAGGAAGGAAGGAAGGAGGGAGGGAGAGAGGGAGGGAGGGAGGGAGGGAAGGAAGAAAGGAAGGGGGGAAGGAAGGAAGGAAGGAAGGAAGGAAGGAAGGAAGGAAGGAAGGAGGGAAGGAAGAAAGGAAGGAAAGGAAAGAAAGAATGAGGCAAATGTATGTATATTGATATGGCAAATTGCTAAAGTATATTGTTAAGTGGAAAAAGCAAGGTACAGAACAGAGTGTATGATATGCTATCATTTATACTCTTAAAATACATGCCATACATGCTTGAAATATCCCTTCAAAGAATATAATAAGTTGGCAAAAATAGTTCCCTCAAGGAATGAGACTGAAGGATGAAGAGACAGGCAGAGGAGGGAGACAGGTTTCCCTACATACTCCTGTGCTGTTTGAATGCCTTTACTGTGTGCATTCAAAATGAAATTTAAAAAAAAAATAAAAAAGACTCATCAGAAATGAAGATCATATTACCATTATGAAAAGTCAGTGCTAAAAGAGATCTTAGAAATTAGAAAATTGATTTTCAAAGATGACAGATTAAGAGAGAGAATAATACATTTCCTGGTGGCTTTTGCTGCTACTAAGTACCTGCTGCCATCAAGGTTATCAACTGAAAGTTAGTGTCTACCTCTCTCTCCCTTTTGGATCTCACCATTGCCTGTTAGAAAGGATCCAGGCTGTAACTTGGTTGCAGGGGTTAAGTAACAGTAGGGGGGCGGTGGCAGAGCTGTTAATTTGGGGAGCAGCAATGGCTCTCAAGTTCTTCAGAATACACTTGACTTCTGGCTTCCTTTCTGAATAAAATTAGGTTGACTTTTTACTTCACTCCAAGAGCCAAGGCACTGTAGGGTAGCCATAGTTCAATTCTGGATCACTGTGGCTATTTTGGCTTCTGTGTGTGTTTCTGGAAGAAAAGCCAAACAGAAAACTGCCGCCAATCCTCTATCTGACAATGCCTAGCTAAGCTATGTCCCTTTATGCCACCTGTTAAACTCCACAGGTGCTTTCCCTTTTAGTTCACCTCCTCTTTTGTACATGTTTCTGGTATCAAATATGCAAGTCCTGTTTTTTTTTTTTCTTATTTCATCCTACCATGAGTCCCATGGAGAAAATTGACTTCAATAAACTCAGTATAGGGAAATGCTCATAGATAATTTTCTTTGAGGCAGAGAGAGCTAGGCACTACTTCCTTCTCTTTTTTTGTTCCCATCTGCTTGACTTTTGCCTAAATGTCTGGCAACTAATTTGCCAGAAATCCCGAGTGTGTGTTTATGTGTGTGTGTGTGTGTGTGTGTGTGTGTGTGTGTGTGTGTTAAAATAGTATATTTGAGAAATAGGTTAAGAAGTGGGTAAACAAGGCATTTTCAATAAATAAACAATTCTTGGAGTCGGGCGCCAGTGGCTCACACCTGTAATCCTAGTTATTTAGGTGGCTGAGATCTGAGGATCGTGGTTCAAAGCCAGCCTGGTCCAGGAGAGGCCGTGAGACTCTTTTCTCTAATAAACAACTCAGAAAACTGGAAGTGGCACTGTTGCTCAAGTGGTAGAGCGCTAGCCTTGAGCTGAAGAGCTGAAGGACAGTGACCAGCCGAGTTCAAGCCCCAAGACCGACCCCCCCCCAAAAAAAATTCTTAGAATGGCAAAGTGATTTTGCAGAAAGGGCTGATTCCCTACCTTGTATTAACAAATTCCTGATGCTCTCACATCCTTTGGGAATAGCCCTGGCAACTGTTCTACTTGGCAGCTGCTATCTCCAAAGTCTTGGGGGAAAGGGGATAGAATTTACCCAGTATTTACTCATTAGAATTCTGGGCACTGTAGGAGAATACAAAAGAATGAAATACTCGCTCATAAAACTTGCAACTGGGGAGATCAAACCCTCCCTAAAAAAGACAAACAGCTGAATACAAGAAGTTACCTTATTATAAAGAAAACTTAGTACCAATCTATTACTTTTAGGAGAAAGAAAAGTGAAAACAGTTAAGTAAACTTCCCAAATAATGAAAGACTAACCATTTTATTCCTTCAAAAATGCCTAGTTTTTTCTTCTCCATCCTGTTCTATCTGCCTGCTGTCCTAAGGAGAATCTTCAAAAGTTTATTATTACAATATAGTTTTCCACAGAACAATAGATCATAGTTATGTATACTTTATTATACTTATATCTGCATCTTATGCTATTTTTCCTTAACTCTGACCAGCTAATTTTAGAGATGAAATGTTCAGAAAACTCTGAAAATATAGCTTTTTTTTTTTTTGGTGCTAGTACTGGGGTGTGAACTCAGGGCTTACTCTTTTTTTTTTTTTTTTTTTGCCAGTCCTGGGGCTTGAACTCAGGACCTGGGCACTGTCCCTTAGCTTCGTTTGCTCAAGGCTAGCACGCTACCACTTGAGCCACTTCCAGCTTTTTTCTGTTTATGTGGTACTGAGGAATTGAACCCAGGGCTTCATGCATGCTAGGCAAGCAATCCACTAAGCCATATTCCTAGCCCAGGACCTTACTCTTGATTAGCTTTATCACTCAAGGCTGATGCTATACTACTTGGTCCATACCTCCACTTCCAGCTTTTTCCTGGTTAATTGGAGATAAACCAGCATGGACTTTTCTGCCCAGGCTGGCTTTGAACCATGATTCTCAGATCTCAGTCTCATGAGTAGCTAGGATTACAGGCATGAGCCACCAGCATGGGATTTGGCTTTTGAATTCTGCTGGGATTATAGTTGTGCACTATTATGCCAGGCAAAAAAATACATTTAAACAGTACAAAAGAGCAGCATATAATACCATTCCACCCCAAATCACTTTTTCTCTCACCTGTCTTACCTAAGAGCATCCCTATCTATTTGGATATGACACTTAAGAAACTAAGGCAACATCTTATAAGGGTTTCCTTTTTGTTTTAGATGTTGGTCGTGGGGCTTGAACTCTGGGCCTGGGCATTGTCCTTGACCGCTTCAGCTCAAGGCAAGTGCTCTATCACTTGAGCCACAGCACCACTTCTGGTTTTCTGGTGGTTTATTGGAGCTAAGAGTCTTATGGACTTTCCTGTCCAGGCTGGCTTGAACCACCATCCTTTGATCTTAGCCATCTGAGTAGCTAGAATTACAAGTATGAGCCACTGGCGCCCAGAAGGGTTTTTCTCTTAATTGAGGGCAATACTAAAACTGTACTGGAACTCTTTCTAAAGCTATCCATTCAAGCCAGTTGTGGTGGTACGCATCTATAATCACAGCAGTCAGGATACTGGAGCAGGAGGTCATGAATTCAGACAACCTGGGATATATAGCAAGTATGAAGCCAGCTTGGGAAACAAATCAAGGCCTTGTTTTTTGTTTTTGTTTTAAAGATATCTCATTGTAACAGGACTTTTTAAATATTAATTACATTACTAAGACAGAAGAATGTATTATGTTCTCTGAAAACACCTAATTGTGAAACATAGCTTTCTCTCTGGCTTAAGTTATAGTCCTACTTAAAGACAGGAAGCCACAAAGGTAAGTTCTAGAAAGTTTTACTTGCTGGGGATAGACTACGTCCTGATATGTTGGAAGAAACCCCAATGGCTCACTAAGCTTCTCTGAATTTTTTTTTTTTTAATTAGCCTAGAGAAGTACTTACCTTTCTTGGAGTCATAAAATGCAATGATTAGGCTGAAGACCAAAGTGGTATCCATGTTAGTTTGAGCACTGATTGCACACAGTTCACTTTTAATCTGCCATAGCCTCTTCTAGCCTTGTCTCTAGTTGCTTTCACAGCCTTAAAACTAAGTTTCCCCTTTACAGGGTCTGATTCAACTCTGGTTATTTTGCCTTATTTCCTGAGGATTCAGGGAATAGAGCTGATTGGAGAAAGGGCCAAATCTGCTTATTAATAATTAACTTGAAGGTCTTTCCTTATCTTTACAGCTGGTGCCAATGGAGAGACCTGTAATTACCTGTAGTTTTTTTCTAGAGTAAGGGCAAAAATGCTTAGTAGGGGCTGGGCACTGGTGGCTCACACCTCTAATCGTAGCTACTCAGGAGGCTGAGATCTGAGGATCACAGTTCAAAGCCAGCTGGGGCAGGAAAGTCCATGGTGGCACAAGTTGTAGAGTGTTTGCCGCTTGAGCTGAAGAGTTCAGAGACAGTGCTCAGACCCAGAGTTCAAGCCCCATGACCAAAAAAAAAGAAAGCTCAGTGATATGCTTTATGTACTTGCAAATAGACGCATAGTCATATTTGTTGATATAGGCACATAGATAGAAATACAAATAGAAAGAGGTAAGTTTCTATTAGGAAATGCAATTTCTGAAATAGAGCAAGCAACTAAGTCTGCATGAGTCAGTGACTTATACTGGACTAGGAAGCAATAGAATGAGGATGGAGGATAAGCCCTGTAATAAACTATTATCATTTTAGGAAAATTCCTTGACTTTTCAGGATCTTAGTTTTCTCCTCTGTAATTTGAGAGGCCCAACCAAAATATCACATTTACACATGAATTCACATGAGCACAGACATATGTATCAGGGTGTGTGTGTGTGTGTGTGTGTGTGTGTGTGTGTGTGTGTGTGTGTGTGTGTGTGTATGAGTGAGACCCGAGGCTTGAACTCAGGCCTTGGACACTATTTTTGAGCTCAAGGTTAGTGCTTTCCTAACTGAGCCACAGCTACACTTCTAGCTTTTTGCTGGTTAATTGGAATTAAAAGTCTCATGGTCTTTCCTGCATAGCCTAGCTTTGAACTCTGATCCTCAGAGTAGATAGGACTATAGGCATGAGCCACCAGCACCTGGCTTAATCAAATTTTGAACATTTTCATATACCTAAGTAGTGAAGTAAGACAATATTCCTATGAGAAATGGGTCAAGAGGTAAGGAATAGCTGAATACATTAGGTAAATGATACTGTCTACAGCTTGAGCAAGTTTTCCTAAATATATAACTGCAGTTGAAGATTTTTTCCACAGAGAGAGAGATAATTTTGCTAATCCTGGGGCTGAACTCAGGGCCTGGGCACTGTCTCTGAGCTTCTTTTGCTTAAGGCTAGCACTCTACCATTGAGCCACAGCTCCATTTCTGGCCTTTTCTGTTTATGTGATACTGAGGAATCAAACCCACGGCTTCATGCATGCTAGATGAGAACTCTACCACTAAGCCACATTCCCAGCCCCAAAGATATATTTTTTTTAGCAAATGTTCTAAAGACTTTTTTTTTTGTACAGAGGATCTCATTTTGTAGTCTAGGTTGATCTGGAACTCATGATCCTCTGCCTCTGTCTCCCAAGTGCTGAGATTACAGGTGTGTGCCATAATTCCTAGTTCTAAAGGCTTTTTGATTGCATAGCTAGGTAGATGATAAAAGACATATGAAGATCTACTCAGATATTTGCCTAAGTCCAAAGTTTCTACAGTCTTTACCTCTGTAAGTATACTGACATTGCAGACATCATGGATTTAGCTATTCCTGAGAATATTGTGGAGCTAAAGATCGATGATGATATAAAGGAAACTTGGGGATGGCACAGGGGTTCATATCTGTAATTCTAGCAAAAGGCCTGCTTTGGCTACATAGTGACACCCTATCTCAAAAACAAAACAGCTTAAGGGGCTGGGAAGGTGGCTCAGTGGTAGAGTGCTTGCCTCCCATGCATGAGGCCCTGGGTTCGATTCCTCAGCACCACATAAGCAGAAAAAGCCAGAAGTGGCGCTGTGGCTCAAGTGGTAGAGCACTAGCCTTGAGCTGAAGAGCTGAGGGACAGCGCCCAGGCCCAGAGTTCAGCCCCAGGATTAGCAAAATTATCTCTCTCTCTAGAGAGACCGACAAAAAACAACAGCAACAACAAACAAACAAAAAAAGCTTAATAAATAAGTAAGTAAAAGGAGTCTGGTTTAAAGGACTTCCCACTCATGAAATTTGAATCAAATTATAATAATCAAAATTAGTACCCTGTTTCCTGACATCCTGATAGAATTTGACATCTGGCTACATTAAGCATTAGAGAAGTCTCAGTGGGGAAATGGAAAAGGAAAAAATGTCACAGAAAATCAATATGTTGGTTGGAAAGATAGAAGGAAGTATATTCTGTTCTAGAACAAATCTTTATTGATATATTATCACTCCCTCCTCCCCTCTGCTCTGGTTGCTTATTTCTCCTGGCACAGGAGGTAGCTACACAAGAATGAAAAGGTTTCTTTACCTTCCTTGGGTTTTATGATTTTTATTTACTATTTCTTTAACACAATTATATGATTCTCTGCTCATTAGTGATGGAACATTTATCCTGCCTGCTGTTTTATTTGCAATTCTCTTTAGATGCCACATGACAGTGCTGCCACCTGGCAGCCAGGGTAGGAATGAATCTGAGGTCCAGTTATTCTCATCCTGTGTCACAAGATGGCAGAAGAGCTTACTTTTCCCAGAGGACAAAGATAAAGGGGAAAGTTTTTTTTTTAATCAACTCTCAGAAACCTAACTGGCTTTTTTTTTAACTCAGAGGCTCAGAAATCAATCTACATGTTGGAGCGGGCCATACTGTGGGATACTGCAATTAACACATCAAAATATCGAACAGTGAAGAAATAGATACAGAATTGTTTCTCTTCTAGATATTTCCACCAATTTTCTAAGGGTTTGATATGTGGTTAAAACAGCGAGTATCTCTTCTGATCTCCCCTCCCACACATACTAAGTTAGCAAGGAAAAGATGCTATAATTATAGTAAGGGGGCTTATGATGTGTCAAATTTTGAGATCTGACCTCTGGAACAATAGGAATACATACTAAATGGATGAATCAGAGCTGTGCAGGAGGAGCACTTGACCAGAAACCCTGATGCCCTATCAAAGCTCTAGATTAGGCTCTGTAATTTGATTGACTTATTTAGAGTAAGTTACTTAATGATTTTCTTTAATGAGGTGATTGGTAAAGATGGCTCCCAAGACCTCTTGAGTTTTAAAATCATTTTATGTCTATACTTCCCTTATTTTGTCAGTCGTGGGGCTTCAACTTGGGGCCTGGCCACTGTCCCTCAGCTTTTCAGCTGGAGGTGAGTACTCTACCACTTTAGCCACAGCACCACTTCTGGATTTTGGGCAGTTAATGGGAGATAAGTCTCACGGACTTTCCTGCCCAGTCTGGCTTTGAACCAAGATCCTCATCCTCAGATTTCAGCCTCCTGAGTAGCTAGGATTACAGGTGTGAGCCACCAGCGCCTGGCTTACACTTTCTTTTTTTTTTTTTTTTTTTGGGTCCGGTCGTGGGGCCTGAACTCTGGGCCTGGGCGCTGTCCCTCAGCTCTTCAGCTCAAGGCTAGCGCTCTACCACTTAAGCTACAGCGCCACTTCTGGCTTTTTTTGTTTTTGCTTATGTGGTGCTGAGGAATCGAACCCAGGGCCTCATGCATGCAAGGCAAGTGCTCTACCACTGAGCCACCTTCCCAGCCCTGGCTTACACTTTCTTTTAAGGTGCTTTTTAATTTTGATTTTGTGTGTGTGTGTGTGTGTGTGTGTGTGTGTGTGTGTGTGTGTGTATCCTGGGACTTGAACTCAGGGCGTGGACACTGTCCCTGAACTTCTTTGGCTCAAGGCTAGTGCTCTACCACTTGAGCCACAGCACCACTTCTGGCTTTTTCTGAATAATTCATTGGAGTTAAGAGTCTTACAGACTTTTCTGCCTGGGCTGGCTTTGAACTGGAATCTCGGATTTCAGCCTCCTGAGTAGCTAGAATTACAGGTGTGAGTCACCAACACCTGGTTATTTTCTAAGTGCATTTTAATTGACACAGTAATTACGTATATTTATGGGCTACAATATAATGTTTTAATTGGTATATACATTATCTCCTCAGACATATATCATTTTATGCAGGAAACACTTCAAATCAGCTCTACTAGCTCTGTATATGTGTGTGTGTGTACATAACAAAGGATAGGGCTTTTTGGTTGTATATATCTTCATATATGTCTATATGTCTAGATTTATATATGTCTGTAACTTTCACATATGAAAGAAAACATACACCTTTTGTCTCTCTGAGCCTGACGTACTTCACTCAGTCTTATTTTTCAGTTCTGTCCATTTCTGTGCAAGTAACAAAATAATATTCTTCCTGATGGATGAATAAAATTCCAGTGCATGTGTATATGTGTATGTATATATATACATGTGTGTATATATATATACACATATATATAATTTTCTTGATTCATTCATTGGTTGTCTACATATGTAAATTAAAGTAATTTTTTATTATATATAACACAGAGAATATACCTAAAAAAAAAAAACAACATTTTTGGAATGTTGTTTTTGTTCTCTTCTAGTCCCTAACCTTAACTTCCATAAGGAGTAAATATTAGCTAGAGGGGGCTGGGAATGTGGTTTAGTGGTAGAGTGCTTGTCTAGCATGCATGAAGCCCTGGGCTCAGTTCCTCAGTATCACAGTGGCACTATGGCTCAAGTGGTAGCTAGTCTTTTTTTTTTTTTTTTTTTTGGGTCCGGTCGTGGGGCCTGAACTCTGGGCCTGGGTGCTGTCCCTCAGCTCTTCAGCTCAAGGCTAGCACTCTACCACTTGAGCCACAGCGCCACTTCCGGCTTTTTTCTTTTTGCTTATGTGGTGCTGAGGAATCGAACCCAGGGCCTCATGCATGCAAGGCAAGCGCTCTACCACTGAGCCACCTTCCCAGCCCCTGGTAG